CGGCGGATGGTTGGGACGGTGGGGCGACGGGGCGAGGGAAGGTGGGGCAAGGGGGCGGCGAGGGGAGGGGGGCGACGGGGCGAGGGGAGGTGGGGCTCGGCATTACTAACAATTTTTTTTTTCAAAACTACTAATGGCGCACGGTGGGTGTGGTGCGCCATTACTATGTCAACTAGTAATGGCGCACTATACCACGGTGCGTCATTAGTAACATTTTTTTTTCAATACTACTAATGGCGCACCACACACCAGGTGCGCCATTAGTAATACGCCATTAGTATATAGTAATGGCGCACCACATGTCTGGTGCGCCATTAGTGGCCATATCATCTATAGCCCTTTTCCTAGTAGTGGTATCCAGATCCCGCTATTGGTTATTGGCCGGAGAGGTGTCTCGATCATGTCTGCATGGTTCCCGAACCCGTAGGGTCTACACACTTAAGGTTCAGTGACACTAGAGTTGTTATGGGAAATAGTATGTGGTTACCGAAGGTTGTTCGGAGTCCCGAATGAGATCCCGGACGTGACGAGGAACTCCGGAATGGTCCGGAGGTGAAGATCGATATATTGGACGAAGGGTATTGGAGTCCAGAATTGTTCTGGGGGTACCGGGTGACGACCAGCGTGTCCGAAAGGGGTTTTGGAGGCCCCGACAAGCGTTGGGGGGCCTTATGGGCCAAGGGGAGGGGGCACATCAGCCCACTAAGGGGCTGAGCGCCCCTCCCACCCCATCTCACGTAACTTGGAGAGGTGGGGGAGCCTCCCCTAGGGCAGCCACCCCTCCCGGCTTGGGGGCAAGTTTCCTAGGGGTGGGGGCACCCAAACCCATCTAGGGTTTCCCCTGTGGCCGCCGCCCCTCGCCTAGGGAAATCCTAGGGTGCCTCCTCCTCCCTCCTTCCCCCTATATATAGTGAGGGAGAGAGAGGGCAGCCATACCCTTCCCTTGGCGCAGCCCCTTCCTCCCCAACACCTCCTCCGTAGTAGTAGAGCTTGGCGAAGCGCTACAGAAACACCACAAGCTCCACCACCACACCGTCATGCTACCGGAGCTCTCCCTCAACTTCTCCTCTCCCCTTGCTGGATCAAGAAGGAGGAGACGTCCCCGGGCTATACGTGTGTTGAACACGGAGGCGCCGTTCGTTCGGCGCTAGATCGGATCTTCCGCGATTTGAATCGCCGCGAGTACGACTCCATCATCCGCGTTCTAGTAACGCTTCCGCTTAGCGATCTTCAAAGGTATGAAGATGCACATCCTCTCTCTCTCTCTCTCTCTTGTTGCTAGAATCTCCTAGATTGATCTTGGTGTTCGTAGGAAAACTTTTGAATTATTGCTACGTTCCCCAACAACATTTTGTTTCCTTGAGGGGTATATGCGATCAATATTATATCATATTCTTACTAGTTCCAATGAATTAAGGCATTCTTTTCATGGATATTCTGCACTGCTTTTTGCACTTGGTAGCTTCATATGAAAGAAATTCCACTTAACTGGAACTGAAAGTATGTCAAAAGAATACCTTTGACGATTATTAATTATTTGCTTGTATATGATTGTCATTTTTAACTATGTGGATAATTTGGACCTCTGTGCTTATCCATGTGCAAGTTCTCATGCTCTTTTCAGCCCAGTGATGAATTGGTGCTCTCTTAAAAAATGAATTGGTAATCTTTTGCTCAGAAAACCATGATTTGTTTTGTTCTCATTGTTGATATTGGAGCTCTATTACTCACTGTCAAGTAAACAAAGCTACTTTTTTTTGCGGGGAAGTAAACAAAGCTACTACACAATGGCCATTCATTATTTGCTCAAATACCTTAACAATGCAGGTATGCCGATTGATTTAACAACAAGAGACGCACCTAATACAAAATAAGTATATCAAAATGGCAATCCGTACATAACCTTCAAAGCGTCTTTATATTGGAAATCCTATTCTGAGTGTTGTTTACACATCAATATTTATACAAGTCACATGAGATAACTTAAATCATATCACTATGTTTAGTAAAAAGTAAATCACATAATTTGCATTTTTTTATCTTTGTAATTATACTCCAAGTATTGTGTCCATTGGAAAACAAAACAAAAAAAAATCTTAATGTGAGATCATATATCTACTTTGCAAACAAAGTCATTCAATACATGTATTACCATGCACATACCCTTAAGAGTCCCTCAACAACGCACGGGGTACCATTCAATTTTTTAAATCATGCATACCTTTCTATCAAACCCATGTATCATAAAGTAACTTCTTGATGTCACCACGCTTCTTGTGCTTCGCCGCGGAGTGATGAAAAAAAAAGACGTGTTACAATCTTCATATTGCAGGTAATTGGCACGTCCACGCTGAAGCCAAAAGAACTCCTGTTTTCTCCAGAGTATTTTCAATGGTGAGTTTCAAAGTTAGTAGTATTGAGTATTTCCACTGCAAAAAAGAGTTAGTGTTGAGTATTTGAATCTTCTTTAGAAGATTGAAATTCCTTTTTGAGCCGAAGCTGTTTCATGGGCCTGATTCCAACGTCTGGCCCAACACCTAGCTAGCATACCCTGCCCAGTGCCCAACACACCACTCACTCACTCACTCACTCCGCCACCATTCTCCTCTGCTCCTCCCCCAAACCGAAACCCTCGCCGCCACCCTCCTCCGCCGGCGGCCATGGGCGAACCGCAGTTTATCATCGGCACCTCCATGAGCGATATGCTCGCCAGCATGGAGCGCGACGGACGGGACCCTGCGACGCTCGACCTTGGCTCAAACTATCTGCTCTACTTCGTGTACGACTACCTCCCGCACCCGCCGGTCTCCCCCACCGCCGCTCACTCGCTCTCCGGCGTGCCGCGGGCCCCCGGCGGCGTGGACCGCATCAGCCGCCTCCCCGATGCGGTCCTCGCTGAAATCCTCTCCCGCCTCCCCGCCAAGGACGCCGCGCGCACCTCCGCCCTCGCCTCGCGCTGGCGCCCCCTTTGGCGCTCGGCGCCCCTCTCTCTCGTCGACGGCCATCTGCTTCCGGACGACGGCGCGGCCGGGCAGCTCCCCATCGGCGTTCCCTCTCCCCGTGCCGTCACCGCCGCGGTGTCCCGCATCCTCGCGGCGCATCCGGGGCCCTTCCGCTGCGTCCACCTCACCCGCAGCACCATGGACGAGCACCGAGGCGAGATGGCCCGCTGGATCGACACCCTCGTCGCCAAGGGGGTCAAAGAACTCGTCTTTGTCAACCGCCCTTGGCCGATTGACCTGCGCCTCCCCGCCACGATCTTCGGCTGCGCCTCCCTCACACGCCTCTATCTCGGCCTCTGGAGGCTCCCGGACACCGCCGCCGTGCCGCGCGGCGCCAGATTCCCCAACCTCAAGGAGCTCGGCCTCTGCATGACTGTCATGGAGGACCGTGATCTGGCCTTCATGCTTGAAAGATGCCCCGTCCTGGAGTTCCTCGTCCTCATGGGAAGCCAGACCGGAGTGCGCCTCCGCCTCGTCAGCCAGAGACTGCGCTGCGTTCAGCTTGGCCATGCCTTATTGGAGTACATCGACGTGGTGGATGCCCCTAGCCTGGAGAGGCTCTTCTTTTCGGAAATTGTCCCCCCTGGCAAGCTCAAGTCCTTCAGGAAGAGGAACGACGACAACCACTCCACCATGAACGGCTCCTCCAGGATCAAGATTGGGCGTGCACCTAACCTCCGTGTGCTGGGATACATTCAGCCAGGAGAGCAAGAGTTGGGGATTAGCAACACCATCGTCGTGGTATGCAGCTCGCTTGTGTATACCTGCTATATGTCAATATATGATCTGAATTAGTTTCTCTATAGTATTATCGGTCCTTGGGCTAATTTAATTGGCCGTGCACCTAATCTCTGTGTGCTGTGTCTATTTGTAATGCCAATATATGATAGTATGACTTGGTTTCTCTGTTCATTTCAGGCTGGTAGCAAGGAGAACATTCTCCCTAGTGTCCAGATTTTGTCCATGGAGGTGCAGTTCGGTGTCCGCAATGCTGTCAAGAAAGTGCCTGGTTTCCTCAGATGCTTTCCTAACCTGGAGACGCTACATGTTTATGTAAAATTGGTTAACTTAACTACTTAGAGTTGTTGCACTGGCAATTTTGCATGGTCAGAACTATGAATCAGATTAATACTATCTTATACTAGCATGGTCAGAACTATTAATCAGATTAACCTGAACTATGTATGCTACCGTTTCATCTGCAGTCCCCTCCCATATCTGAAGAGTCCACTGGCAAGGTCAATCTCAAGTTCTGGCAGGAGGGCGGTCCCATCAATTGTGTGGTGCAGAGCATGAAGAAGGTGTTCTTCTACGAGTTCCATGGGTTGAGAAGCGAGGTTGCTTTCCTCAAGTTCATCGCAGAGACCGGTCGGGTGCTGGAGCATATGGTGGTTCTGGTGGCCAAAGAATGTTTCTCCTCCGGAGATGATAATGTGAGGGCCAAGCTGAAGCCTCTGGCGAGCGTGAAATGGAACAACCAGGCTTGCAAAGTACAGCTCTTCAAGAGCGGGCGCACTAACCCGGGAGGTCCTGTTTACAGCAACAAGATAGCTTCCGACTTTGGGTTTGCTGACCCTTTTGACCTCCTCGGGCACTACTAGAAAGCAGAAGGATAAAATGTTTGTACCAATAATTTTTCGTTTTACCTTGCAGTCAATTTGTGTACCTTACAGTCAAATGTGTACTCCCTCTGTAAGCTACTCCCTTCGTCCCACAATATAAGAGCGTTTTGCAAGCTAAAATGGCTTGCAAAACGCTTTTATATTGTGGGATGGAGGGAGTAATATAAGTTCTTTTAGATCACTGAACTTATATTAGTTTACAGAGGGAGTACTCTAGTACGTAATATATATGGTCTTTCTGGTTTGTCCAACTGCAATTTTCATTTGTGTTGTGAAGTTGCCGTAGTTAGCATGAATTACCTTGGTATGCATTAGATGTTTGGGGCATGCATCTTTGCACAGGTTCGCCGCGCCATGGTGAGTTACGAATGTTGGCTATGCGCAGTGAAAGATGAGTTCAGTGGTGCTACTTGCTTGTGAAAGATCAGTTCAGCTGTGTTGCCCGAGAGGAGGCAGGAAGTTGCTGCGATACAAATTGTTGCTGCAAACGTACACTTGAAACTAAACTGAGGCTTCATTCTGTGTTTGTGTTTTGATCTGGCATGCTTCAGCGTGATTCCCTTCACGGACCTCTCTGTAAGCTGCTTCTAAATTGTAATGTACTCCCTCCGTTCCAAAATAGATGACCCAACTTTATACTAAAGTTATAACTTTAGTATAAAGTTGGGTCATCTATTTTGGAACGGAGGGAGTATGATGCTTCTAAACTCAGGCACTGAACCTAACTCCAGCATAGCTTCAACTAAATTTTTTGCAGGTGTTTGATTGGAGGATGAAACCGGGATAAAGGAGGATGCTATGATATGTAATGTATGATGTCCATGGAAGAACGCACGTGCTTTCTGTAGCACTACATTCCGATCCTATGACGGTAGTTCCAAGTCCTCATCTGGATAGAGCTTTTTGAGTGGCAGATACCCTGTTCTAGGCACGGTTACTGGATTGATCGTCCCTACCTATCTATGCAAGATCGAATCAGTATGGTTTCATCAGGTGTTCGACTGATATCCTGTTCGGGAGGATTCATCAGGTGTTCGACTGATATCCTGTTCGGGAGGAGAGGCGCTTAGCTGGAGACGATGATGACGGCCGGATGTGTCTTCTACTCCCTCCGTTCCTAAATATAAGTCTTTGTAGAGATTTCATTATAAACCGCATACGGATGTATATATATGCATTTTAGATTATAGATTCATTCATTTTGCTTCGTATGTGGTCCATAGTGAATTCTTTCCAAAGACTTACATTTAGGAACAGAGGGAGTAGCTTCTAGTCACCCCACTACAACTTGCTCCTGGCGCACATCCGCGATGGAGTTCATAGATAGGATCAGGGGCGGAGCCAAGATGATTAATGAGAGGGGCCAAAAAATATGTAGAAGCCTTTTTGCAGGTTGATGTCTAGTGTTTTTTTTTCGCATTCATGTGTAGGAGCTTCTGGCCACATCACTATTAAACTGACCATACAATCATGCATGTAGGGGTGGAAAGTGGTAGCGGATAATCCAAAATATCCGATATTCGTATTCGAGAAAATGCCTATTCGTATGTGAAACATCCACATCCGAACCAAAATGGAAATGGAAATTATCTGTATCTGGATTTATTTAAGAAATAAAAATAAAATACGGTATGCGATTTTGGCACAAATATGGATATGGAAGCAGATATATCCGTATCCGAATAAGATTATTGGAGGTAGATTTGAAGATTCTAGCCTCAATGTCCCTATTATCCAACATAAAAGCAAAATAAGTTGTCAAATTTTACTCTTTGTATGATTAAACTTAAAAATTACTATAGTATTTATTTATAAACCTATTTATCATTGACTTATTGTATGCCACAAGTTGATTATTTCATGTCACATAGCTATTGACTAATTTACTTAAGCAATATGTCGCTATTATTTGTATCCGTTCCGAATCAAGAAAACATCCAAGTGCAGTCCTCGTCTAACGGCTTCTGAGTAGATGACTTTACACATGCCTGGTAAAGGCCCTCATATTCAGGTGATGTAGGCTTGGGCCTCTCTACCATTCTTATCATCACGGGCCTACCCTCTAGTAGGTGACCCCATGAGGGCATGTACAACGAAAGCGCGCATCACCCCGGTACTGTCTCAGCTCTTAAACTAATAAAAAAGTAGTGAAGCCACCATTTTGGAAAAATCCTGTCCAACAGAGGCCACACCATGCAGCGGACCCACTGTCCTTCACATGCGCAGCGTTGTTTAATTTCTGCTCTCTCTATCCCTCGCTTGCATGCATCAGCGCTGCGATGCCTTTACTTCCTTTCTTCGCTTTTCACACCTGAAGAAGCTGGCTCTTCTGCAGGCTACACTTGCTACTGTGAGGCAATACCTTTTAGTTCGAACCTACGTGTACCTACGGGGAAGCAGGCTGAGGCTACCCATTGGCCATGCCCTGAGATCAACGCTTCTGGATCGACTCTAACCAGCACCCTCTAGCCCCCTCAAACTGTGATGTAGCATAGGAGATCCATCTGCTATTGTGTCTTCCCTAGAGTCTGATATAATAATCTTTACACCTCGCTTGCCATAGACGCGAGTTCGTACCATTAAATCATGGCAGTTGAACCCTCAGTCCAGAGTGGAATTGCTCATTAGAATCTACTGTACGAGTCTCTCTGGGAGATTGAAATTCATGGGAGAGGAGGAATCTCGTGCACCTCTAGTCAGGGAAGGGACACAGATGTTATATGCTTTTCCCCGGTTGAATTTGTCGGTGCCAAGGAAGTCGGTGGCGAAGGTGTCGTGACCACTTCGTGCTTCACAGCTCGACGAAACACCGCTTGCCTTGGGATCTGATTCGCCCTTGTCTCCCCGCTCCAGATCAGAACGGATCTGCTGGAAGGCGAGATTGAGCTCGGAACTGATATCATCGATACACGCGGTGATGAGACCATCCAAGGTGCTGGTGGTCTCCTGGAGAAGCTTTCGCATGGACTTGAGGAGGTCATCACCATGTACCATGAGCCATTGTTCAAGGTCGTCGGCGAGCGTGACCTTCAAGATCTCGTGGATGCTGCACCCTTCCGCTATCAAGTTCTCCATCGCTTCTCGCCTACGCATGTTGCTAAAGCTGGCAAGGGATCTCCAGGCTCAGAATGGCTCTGATGCCAAATGTGATCTACTCGCTTGTGGAACTGTTGGAAATATGCCCTAGAGGCAATAATAAAAGAATTATTATTATATTTCCTTGTTCATGATAATTGTCTTTTATTCATGCTATAATTGTATTATCCGGAAATCATAATACACATGTGAATACATAGACCACAACATGTCCCTAGTGAGCCTCTAGTTGACTAGCTCGTTGATCAACAGATAGTCATGGTTTCCTGACTATGGACATTGGATGTCTTTGATAACGGGATCATATCATTAGGAGAATGATGTGATGGACAAGATCCAATCCTAAGCATAGCACAAGATCATGTAGTTCGTTTTGCTAGAGCTTTTCCAATGTCAAGTATCTTTTCCTTAGACCATGAGATCGTGTTAACTCCCGGATACCGTAGGAGTGCTTTGGGTGTACCAAACGTCACAACATAACTGGGTGACTATAAAGGTATACTACGGGTATCTCCGAAAGTGTCTGTTGGGTTGACACGGATCGAGACTGGGATTTGTCACTCCGTATTACGGAGAGGTATCACTGGGCCCACTCGGTAATGCATCATCATAATGAGCTCAAAGTGACCAAGTGTCTGGTCATGGGATCATGCATTACGGTACGAGTAAAGTGACTTGCCGGTAACGAGATTGAACGAGGTATTGGGATACCGACGATCGAATCTTGGGAAAGTAACATACCAATTGACAAAGGGAATTGTATACGGGGTTGCTTGAATCCTCGACATCGTGATTCATCCGATGAGATCATCGAGGAGCATGTGGGAGCCAACATGGGTATCTAGATCCCGCTGTTGGTTATTGACCGGAGAGCAGTCTCGGTCATGTCTACGTGTCTCGCGAACCCATAGGGTCTACACACTTAAGGTTCGGTGACGCTAGGGTTGTAGAGATATTAGTATGCAGCAAATAGAAAGTTGTTCAGAGTCCTGGATGAGATCCCGGACGTCACGAGGAGTTCCGGAATGGTCCGGAGGCAAAGAATTATATATGGGAAGTCGAGTTTCGGCCATCGGGAAAGTTTCGGGGTCACCGGTATTGTACCGGGACCACCGGAAGGGTCCCGGGGGTCCACCGGGTGGGGCCACCCATCCCGGAGGGCCCCATGGGCTGAAGTGGGAGGGGAACCAGCCCCTGGTGGGCTGGTGCGCCCCCCCTGGGCCCCCTCTGCGCCTAGGGTTGGGAACCCTATGGGAGGGGGCGCCTCCACTTGCCTTGGGGGGCAAGTTTCCCCCCTTGGCCACCGCCCCCCTAGGAGATCCCATCTCCTAGGGCCGGCGCCCCCTGGGTCCCTATATAAAGAGGGGGGGTGGGAGGGCAGCCGCACCCTGACACCTGGCGCCTCCCTTCCCCCCTTGCTACACCTCTCCCTCCCGTAGTCGCTTGGCGAAGCCCTACTAGATCCCTGCTGCATCCACCACCACGCTGTCGTGCTGCTGGATCTTCATCAACCTCTCCTTCCCCCTTGCTATATCAAGAAGGAGGAGACGTCACGCTGACCGTACATGTGTTGAACGCGGAGGTGCCGTCCGTTCGGCGCTAGGATCTCCGGTGATTTGGATCACGACGAGTACGACTCCCTCAACCCCGTTCTCTTGAACGCTTCCGCTCGCGATCTACAAGGGTATGTAGATGCACTCCTCTCTCTTTTTGCTAGATGAGCTCATAGATTGATCTTGGTGAACATAGGATTTTTTTTATTTTATGCAACGTTCCCCAACAGTGGCATCATGAGCTAGGTCTATGCGTAGTTCTCTATTGCACGAGTAGAACACAAATCTGTTGTGGGCATAGATGTTGTCAACTTTCTTGCCACTACTAGT